TAACAAGAAAGCAACCCGCACCGCAAAGGAAGTATTCTGCCGCAACATGTCCAATTTTTTAAGTATCAGAACTTAAATATGCATAAAATCTAAGCAATTATTAAAGTATCAAAAAAATTTATTTGAACAAATGTAATAAAAGGTCTGACATTTTAAGAAAAATCAATTGTTTATTTTTTATTCATAAGGCCCAATGTCTCGTTTTCAAATGCTCAAAAAATTATGCGCAATTTCAAAATGGTTTCTCGTTGGAATGCTCAAATGCTTTTGTACAATTTTAAATTACCTAACCAAAAAATTATGTCTAGATTTTAGGTTACCAACAAAGTATGTCTATATTTTAAGGTATCAAAATATATTATTAATTTTAGAATTTCCAAAAAAACTACCAATTTCTAAATGACTAAAAATTTTTACCAGTTTTAAAAATTGGAAAAATTCAATTCCTGTTTTTAAACTACCAAAAATTTGTAGAGCTTTAAAGTTACAAAAAATATATGCCTCGTTTTTGGATAACTAAATTAAATGTCTGCTCAACTTTTACTCTCCAGCCTTTATATTAATAGTAAACATATATATAAGTACAAAAAGTACATATGTACATATGTACTTTTATTCTCTATTTCGTGCAAATATAAATTAAAATAAAAGTTGTACTTACCTTTTCCTTTACGACAGTATAATCTGCATCGCCATTGCTAAATTTAAATTCCTCTAGAGTATAGCCCAAAAATTAAGTTATAACTTATTAATATTTTTTCTTAAAGAAAAAATAAAAAAACCTAAAAACCAGCTAAAATTCTAGTTCTACAAAATAATCCTATAATTAAGTTTAAATTAGCTGTTGAAATGATTGGAAGTTTATTAGTCTCAAAACCCAGAAAACAATATGCGTCTAAGGAGACTTTAAAATTCAGCGTTCAGATTTAATTTAAAAAATCATAACCTATAAGAATTGACTTGTAACTTTCGACAATTGTTCCCAAATTGAGTTATATACTTACATAAATAATTGCCAATACGATTTGCAATCTTTTGATGTATAGAACTCAATTTCGGAAACAATTTAGTTATAAGCTTTCAATGTTTGATCATCGATGTGAATACTTTTTTTTGAGGCACAGTAGCAGCAAAAAGTTCAAAGAATTTTCGTTGTTCAACTCGACAACATAAACACTTTTTTACACACGAAATCAGTCGACCTGTCTGTGTTTTTTCACCATCAAATGATTTTTCTTTAATGTTCTCAATACACTTTTCAATACAAAATTCACCTGTTTGTGCCAAATAAATGGCCGTTGTGGAAAATAGGAAAAGTGCCAAAGAAAATTTAACTGGCATCCCTAAATTGTTTTCTGTTTTTCTCCGACTAAATCTGCTCGAACGAAAAGCTGCAGAACACTGACGAGGTACTTAGTTCTGGTAAGATATGTATTATTCAAAAATTTTATTACCTCACTGTAACGATATATGTACATATGTATGTATCTATATGCATATCAGTGGACTTTTGACAAAACAACTTCTCTCGGGTGAGGTAATTTTTTTCTTCAAACCTGTAATTCATTGAGTTGTCGAATGATATTTTTATGTTTAGTCATTAATAGGAATAGTTCAAGATGATATCTTACTGAAAGTTAAATAAAAATGTCAAATTTTTAAATGGAAGTTCCTTATAATTTTTTCTAAATTCCAAATTACAGAATGCTTGAGAGGTTGTTTTGTGAAAAGTCCACAGATATGTATGCATATAAATTTTCAAGAAATTGCAATTTATTGATAGGGCTTTTTACGGGGCCTCTTAATATGGTTCATTAAATATAAAAATGTTTAATTAAAATTATATATGGAACACGTGAAAAATAAAAACAAGCACAGCTATACATATTTCATCAGAAGGATTTATAGCGGAAAGAATTGCAAGTTTAATTTATTGATTAGCGTTGCAAAACACGCAAAAAAGAACAAACAAAAAATTTCATAAATGAGAGGAATTATTCCTTCTTCTTCTCTTAGAAAGCTAAACGCAGTAATCGCCTAAGTGAATTGGGCCGATTCCAACAAAGCATGCAAGTTGCTCCACTTTTACTAAATCCAACCAGTTGAATTTAAACAGCTAGGCAAATCCACCGATTGAACTCAACTCCTTTAGATCATCAAAATATTTATGTGTGCACGAAAAGTCCTGCACCAACTAGAATACTCTTGGCTCTGTTTTACAAGATTTAATATAATAAATAATATCAGAAGCTAGAGTCAATTTGCTTGGCTATGCGAATATATAACAGAGTTAGACCTGATTCGATTTTGAATTAGGTTGATTTTAAAAGCGTCGTGAATAATAAAACATTCTGCTTTGAAGACACGCTCTTCATTTGGCAAGCGTACTTATCCTTCGATATTGAGGTTAACTGAAAAAATCCTTGCACCTACTTACTATGGTAAACTTTACCAATTTCATTCCAAAAATTAATTATGGCGAAACAAGAGGATGACTTTAAAAAAAACTGACTTTTTATTAATTGGCATCTGATTTCCCACAATTTTCAAACGAACGATCTAAAGGGAACAAACAAGTCTGAGAAATTGAAAAAATGGCGCTTACAGGGTTTTTATAGTCCAAATACGGCTAATATTTTAAAACGAATCCAGATAGATATAGACAAATGTATACATAAATGATCAAAATGACAAAAAGAAATCGATGAAGCGGTGACTGTCTGTCCGTGCGGCCGTCTGTGAACACGATAATTCGAGTAAAAATTTAGATATCTTAACGAAACTTGGTACGTGTACTTCTTTTCGGCGTAGGACGGATGGTGTTAAAAATGGGCAAAATCGAAACTGCGATATTTTAGTAACTACTGAAGATTATTCACTCAAAATTGATGTTTACAATAATTTTTAGACGAAAAATAAGGATATTATAAATTTTTGGAAAATGGGCGTAGCCATTGAAGATTGAACTTAAAACTGAAATGAAAAAAATCTTCAATAGGCAAAGTTCAATTCATTTACGCCCATCGCTACCTAATAGCAATTTTGGGTATCACATCTGAGCCAGAACAATAAATTACACTGGCTTTGTTCATTAACTGCTCTTTGCGAACAAAATATTTCACACAGAAAATTATGAAGTACGGTACATGCAAATTATTTTAATAGCCACGTAGTATTTCATAACAAATGCAAATATTTAAAGGCGAACAAACAAATTTTCTAACCACCAATCATGCATTTTAACATTAGCCAAGCAGTACAAAAACACACACAAAAAACGCGTGGCAACCAGAATTAATCACTCCGGTCAACTGCCTGATCGAACGCTTGAGGGAAAGCTTAATTATTTCTGCTTAAAATACAGCAGCAGACATTGTGGCAGTTATTTTGTTAGCACGCTGGTTATTATCATTAATTCTGTTGGCTGGCTGTTGTTTTTCGCATGTTGCGTCTTTTTTATTGCCAATAATACTTATGTACTTATGCTTTGACAAATGATTTGGGCATTTATTAAATTTAGTAAGGACGTTGGCGGCTTCAGCATACCGCGCTGGCAAGGCGAATACCACAGCGGAATAATTTTAAGGCATTTTTTTTAACTCCGGTTATAGCGTCGAAAAATAATAAATTTAAGAACTCCGCCAAAAATGTGTTCAAACGGTGGTATTCATGCGCTACCGTCAAACGCTTAGGCTATTTAGCTCCAACTTTTTTTGCCGCGATTTTTTCCTACAGAGTTTTTTAACCCTCGAACTCCAATCATATTGGGGGCTTGGCTCTTTCTATTAAAGAAGTAGCGAATAAGTAAGTTATCAACAGCATTTAAAGGGTTAAATCTCAAGCGAGTAATATTACTAAATGTACCGAAGAGGAAATACCATACAATTGTTTTAGGAAGTGCAATTCATACGAGACATAGGTAGGGTTATCTTGGCTGTCCCCATCCAGCAGAGAAGAAGCAGGTATTTGAGACTCCTTACGTCCGTTCTCAAAGCTTAGAGGTAAACCCAATTTGTAGCGCTAATGAAGCGCACGAAATCGTAGATATTTACTAGCTGAATACATTTCAGCCAAACATTCAACGGACAGTGGCACAGGTAATGCTCTACGCTTTCGATTTCCTCTTCATCACGGCAGCTACGAATTAATCCGACTAGCGTGGGTTACGATCAGGCAATGCCCGGTGAAAACTCCTCTTACATGACGGAGCGGTGGTCGCTCCAAGCGGACTAGAGGTATAGATCTAAACTTATCCATCCTAGGCCAAATATGCCTCGCTGTCCTGCACATGGGTGCCGTAGACCTTCTCCTGGCCAGCTCATTTAGGGTACATCTACATTTCATGACAATGCTTGATGACGATTTGTCACAATTAAGTAAGCGAGCAATTTATAAATCGTTAAATCATATATACATATTGTCCTCGAAGCAATTTATACGTAGTAATTTTAACCTCGTCACGTTGCTGCCAAAAGTCCGATACCTAATATTGGGAAAGGCGGGGCAGAAACACAAAAAGCGTTGTTGTCATATTTACCTATCACAGTCAGGTGTTTATGACTAGTCAATAGCCCCACAAGTAGCCTACAGGACCTTCTAAGATTGAGGGAAACATGAGTTTTGCCCACCTGCAGCTGCCTAGACGCCGCATAACCTGGTACACCCAAGTGACCGAGGGCTAGAGTGTTAGTGCCTTCAAGTGTAAATCTCTGCTGCCAACGATTTCCGCTTCACTTCGCACTGTGTCATACCACCAACTATTTTTTTTTTAAGCTTACAGGTGCCCTTAAGGGCCTCCCCGCTGACAAAAATTCCAAATGTATGCCCCATCTCCGATCTAAATAAAAGACTAACATTGGAACAGGGAAAAAATTTTATGTGTGCCGCAATATAAATATGTATTTATGTATGTAGTGCATATTCTAATACATATTATGATGTTAAGTATTAGCTCAGAAATTTTGCTAATGATTCTCAGTAATTATCTACATATAGATCATACAAAACTTCATAAGCACGAGTGAGGAAGGCGCGTAAGTTTCAAAAAATATTTACCATAATTGCGGCTAAATTACGAAAACTTTCCAAAGAGCTTACGAAGCGCAAGCATATATGTAAGTATCAACATACATATCGTCGTTTAAAGTACAAAACCGCGTATCGTCATTCTGCAAAACCGCTTAACTGACATTGGCTGCCAAAAATTGGATTTGCTCACACAAGCTCTTGGCTCAATCCTTATCCATTCGTCCTGAAATATGCTAGCCAGAAATGCGATTGCTTTATGGAAAAGATAAACATTTTGAAATATGGGAGTGTTTTTACTCTCCAGAAAATAATTAATGCAATCTCACATACGCGGTTTTGCATTTTGTTGATAGGCGGTTTTGTACTTTAAACGACGATATGTACATTAACTGAATCCACAGTTATGCACTCATACAGATACGTACATACATATGTATGTACATTTACTAAAAAGCGCCTCAAAGGCAGGCGTTAACTCAACTTTTTTCCGTAGAGGTCATTTGATTTCGAACTAAAGTAATTTGCGTGATAATGACTTTAAGCCTGAACTTTTATGTATTTATGTACATTTTTTTTTACATACAAAGCTGCATATATTGTACAGAAACATATTTTTTTATTATGCATACACAGTATGCATCACCACACCATGCGTGATGCGTAGATTTGACTGGATACTTGTGCTATTGCATGCGTGTGCTCTGATTGGCTACAAACTTCTGTATGATGGGGCCAAGTTTAGCTTTTAGTTTTAGTTAGATACGCCGAGGTGGTCAAAGTTCTCTGAAAAGCCGCACAAGTCATTAGGCCATGGAAAAGCGGCGTATATAAGTTGCATGCATATGCGTGTGTGTGTGTGTATTTCTCATTTAAAGATCTTTTCCTTACTTTTATGCAAATTAGTGCTATATAAACTTTACTTATGACGTTTTAAATCCCAGAGCGATATATGAGAAAGCCTCATAAAAGTTTTGATTGCTAAGTAATTAGTTGGATTAAGACATCAATCAGTAAGATGAGATAAAAAAGACTTTCATATTTGATTTTAAACAATTTAAATTAAATTCATACGCAGGGCTCGCCAGACGCCTCATTTCATTCAATTCGAAGATCGCCACCACTCACATGCTCGGCTCGCCACGGGGTATGCCGTACTGTGGGTTGCTGTGACCACTATTGCATAGGACTGTCGATATGTATATGAACACAAATACGGAAAAAAGCGCGGACACTATGACCAACCCGAAAACGAACACGAATTTGACCACGAAAACGAAGATGAGTACGGAGACGAGGCCAAACCCGAAAACAAGGAAGTAAACAAAGAAGGTGACGACGACGAAAACGAATGCGGAGACCAATACAAAAAGGAATACGAATACGAAGACGAAGACGAACCAGTAGAAGAGGACGAACACGAACGCGAAGGTGAACATGAAGACGAATACAATGAAAAATACGAATATTAACACGAAGACAAGTACGAGCGCGAGATGGACCCGAAGACGAATGAGGAAACGTAGACTTAAACGTACACAAATGTGAATGCTTACGAATGCGAAGACAAATTCATCTGCATTACCACTATTACCAAATACCAAATAATACCAAAACTATGAAAAGTTTCGCAGAATAATAATAAACACGAATAATAACGAAAAATCCTTAGAGCATAAGTCCAGAAAAAATATCCAACTTTATGCTATTGTACCGAAAAATAAAACGAAAATTCCCAAAAAATCACAAAGTATTTCATATTTCGTATATTTATCTACGAGCACGTAAAAAATTCGCGTGCAGCATCTATGCCGACTTTGCAGACTGGGTATAAGTACCGGTGAGTAGTCGTGCCCAAGCCGATGCAAATAGTAGTCGTAGACAGTGTGACCCATCAAAAACTATGTTTATGAAATTAGAGTTCATTTCATTATGCCTACGATTACTATGCATATGGGGTGGTAAGGGTGACAGGGCTACAGTTCCACCTATTTTGCCACCTCATTAATTTTACCATACATTCTAAATGCAAACGCTTTCCATCATCCAAAATCGTGCACAAATTGCGCTTAATGATAAATCCCATAGCTACTCACACTTCAACTAAATAATTTTCCATCAAAATGTTGGAGTGCTTTGCAGACCGAAAAATAGTAAGAAAAAAATAATTGCAGTTTTCCGCCAATGCAACTATCAGTCATTCAATAAAATCGCTGATTGACAGCCTGACTGTCATGTGGGTTGCTGCAGTGGTTAAAGGTTTTTGTTGTCATTGATTATTGGTGGTTCTACTTAGTTAATGCGGCCACAAGGGAAATCAGCAATTAGTCAAGTACACAAATGAGGCGATGTCATAGTTTGTGAATAATGATACATACATACATAGATATATACGTACTTATGCTGGTGGGAAATAGGAGAACCGGAAACTCACGATAGTTTGAGACTCATAACGCCCTGTCACTGTGAATATGATTTTTTTTTATAAAAAAATTTTAGTACATAAATAGATTTTGTGGAAAATGATTGCATATTATTTCCAGCTACATACGATTGAGCACAAAAAGCGAGCTGTGAATTCAATCAACTTTATTTGAAAGTTAACGTTGGAAACTGGTTAGTACAAACTGTTTGAGCGTTTTATAACACCTAGTGGCTGGAATTATGCTACATACTCTATCACTTTTCGTATAAATATCACTTTTCAGAACTTATAAAATTACATAATATATTTTTGGCGACCCAAAATAGTCCTAACTTCCTTGACGCATACCACATAAACTGTTTCGGGCTGCTTCGAGATCACTTAGCTTGCTCTCTACACTATCCGTTGGTCATGGAGGCCTTTCGGTATATTAATAAAAAAAATATGTAGTAAGGCTATATTTAGGCACAATTTTGCCTAAGAGACCTTGAGACCAAGGGATTACAAGAAGAGAAACAAAATATTGGTTTGGGAAATCATTACTGTACTGCAAACTTTAATTTCACACAGAAAAGGAAGCTTATCTTTTCTTAATATATGTACATATACTGTTTTAGTTTAGCAAAGGCAGTAAATCTGCAAATAAAATGCTCCGTACTATCCTCACCTTCCAAAGAGTACGTATACAGTGGATCGTTGAGGGTATCTATGATGACCATGTCGCTGATTAAGTTCAATGAAAGCTCGTAGCTTCCTTTCAATTTGTCTGAGAAAGAATTCCGCTACCACCCTGTTAGGTCTTTTTAGAAAACACTCGATTGTTTTGCAGGTGTCAATATTGCTTTAACAGCTGTCAATTTCCAATATACGTCGACCTAGAATTGGCTCTGGTCCCATTGGATACTCCAAAGACCCGTAGGTCAGACAGTTCATTGCCCTGAACATACACAGTATCTCAGTAATTACAAGAGTTCAAGTCTGCTCCATTTTGTAACGGAGTTAAGTTTCAACTTACTTCCCTCGAAATGGTATTCAGCTCCTGTTCCATTTTCAGTATTAAAGCCGTCGGTATGAAAAGTTTTTACTTATCGCTCCATTGCTCCCCAGGGGGAAATCTAAAGGGCTGCATTTATCACTTTTTAATTTTGAATAACTCTCTGTGCCCAGAAATCTGATCGTCGCGCCTCAATTCAAACACCTTCAGTGCTCATATCGTCCTCATTGCCTCCTCTCCGATCGCTAAATCCAGAGGTGGTAAATCCAACAATACCTTAATAGATACTCCTGTGCATTGTAGTCATAGCGCTTGTATTGTATTTGTGTTCCTATAGACACACTCCTTTGCTGCCCATTAAAGAAAGAGTTAATTGTTTTGAAGGTGACTCTACCCGTGCCTCCGTCAAATTTTCCGAAAATATTTAGCGCTCGTATGTCTTCAACTCAACGAGAGTTTTCCAAGTCAGTCTTGCATTTCCGTTAATAAGCAGTCCACGACCAAACACCTCAATAGTGGTAAGAGGTACCTCTGCCATAGTACAAAGAGCATATTCCTACCTCACAGTCAGTAATCTTCTAGATAACATGGAGTGTATTCCTCTTAGATGGTTTCCTCCACTCCATTTCTCCTGGCCACCGTCAATGCGGCATTTAATTTAATGTACTTTTCAAGCCTGCCCTTCAGGCTCCACATCATTAAAGATATGCCAGATGCCAGATCAATGTCTTCTTAGCTGTACCAGCCCAATAACTCTATCCCAACTGAATAATCTGGGGGAACCTCTACCTCAGCTACCTACAATAACGGGGCTTCCACTGTTATAATAATAATAATAGATTGGCCCTTACACATATATTAGTGTTTGGCCGAGCTTATCCTCCGAACGAAAAAATCATACATATGTATGTACCAGGGTAGCCAACTCATCTATATATAAATACGTCACAAGAAAATTTTGCAATCCCTTTTTTGAAGGCACCGTTCGCTCGATTTCAATGAAACATACACCGGTTTAGAGGATATAACTTCCAGAAATGTTAATCCCGATATATTGGGGGCGTGGTATCTGACATATAGACTAAAATGTGAAAACCACTATATCTCTAAAATCAATTACGCTGGGGAACTTAAGCTTAGCACATATACATAGATTGTAAATATCCTACTTACTGTGAAAAATGGTAGGTACGGGAAAAGTGGACGTGGCACTTCCCATATAAACTGAAATTCTCGTATCGGTTATCTCTGGAACCACTTATGCTAATATCCTGAAATTTTACACAGCAAATCGGGGAATTTCACACGAGGTGGCTTCGCTGATATGTACATATGTATGTACACTACCGGCAAAAAGTATTGGCACAGAAACATTTTCACAATATATTTATGCATAAATTTTTTTCTAATATTTTTCTGCCAATTTTTTATAAAAATATGGCTCATTATACAACAAAAACATAAAAATGTAATTCATAAAATGTGTGTAAAACTCCCGAAAAGTCAGCAAATTTTGTATGCATACTTTCAACTTTTTAATCAGATTTTCTAGAATTTTTTGGAGTACCCAGTTTTGCAGCCCATTAAATTCTATTAGAAAAACCTGCCAGCTCGGAGTACTAATCGTACTAATTTTTGAGAATTTATTTGTTGAAGGTGCTTTCCATTTTTCCCATATAAAGTATTTTCGAAATTTTTTTTTGTATGGAAGAGACTAGGCAAAAAAATTGCCATAAATCAACAGTTATTCCTTGCTTAAGTAGCTTGTTTGTACTTTATTATAATACAATTGATTGTGCTACAAATCGGCATACAAACTCGTGTTTAAAATGTTGAAAATTTGCATGAAAATTTGCTGAATTTTCGGGAGTTTTGCAAAAGTTTTAGGAATTATATTTTTATGTTTCTTGTTGTAGAATGAACCATATTTTCATGAAAAGTTGACGGAAAAATATTAGAAAAAAAATTGTTGCGTATATTGTGAAAAATGTACTGTCAATACTTTTTGCCAGCAGTGTATGTATAAAATGACGTACAATAAAAGGAAAAGAAATTTTCTTCTATCAAAAAAAAATCAAAAATCTTAAAGCGAATTTTGGAATATTTAATTGAAAAAATCCTCGCAAAATATTTATTAACAGGTTAAATCTCATACAAAATAGATTTCATTCATTAAACACATGGGTAAAGGTCGTGCCCTTGTCGAATCATAGACTATAACAAAATTTAAAAGAAACCTCTAAGGCCCGATTTTTTAATTTTTATTTGGTTCCTTCTTCGCCTTCTTAAGTTCTGTAACCGCCTAAGCGATTTTGGCCGAGTTCAACAAAGCACGCCTGTCGCTCCTCTTCTGTGCCAACTGACGCCAATTGGAAATGCCAAGTGAAGCCAAATCCTTCTCCACTTGGTCTTTCCATCGCAGTGAGGGCCTCCCTCTTCCTCTAGTACCACCAGCGAGTTCCGAGTTCAAAACACTGCACTGCACTGTTCCTATTAATAAATGATAAATAATAAAAACTAGTTGAAAGCGATTTCAGGGTTCACCCAAAAAGAAAAAGAAATTCAGACGAAAAATTTTAAATGTTATAGGGCTGTTTTCAGCTCTCAAGAAAAACGTAAAATTCATACATATAGAATGAAGCGCAAGAATTTTCTTCTATCACAATTTCGTAAATCAGTTTGCAGCTCTCAAGAAAAAAATGCTCGTTTATTTATTTTCAAGAAAATTTACAGCAAAAGCAAAGCGCCTTTTTAGGCAACAGAAATAATGAAAAATATTTCTTGTGATTTTTCTTGAGAGCTGGATTCTAAGCTTATAAGGAAACAACTTTATGGTCTTGTGCGCACAGAGGGCCCATAACGGAAGTGAGACCAAAGCCAGTCTGAGAGCTGAAAAGCGCTGAAAGAACAAAAATAGAGCATGAAAATAGGTGAGCTCAACAGCAACAATATAATTGATTAGCTTACTTTTCAGGGTATGCTGCGTTTGTTCAGCAGCGCCTACCAGCTTGCTGAGCAGTTAAGTACGTTTTCTTTTCTCGAAAACAAATTTCATTTTCTTGTATGGCAACATTATCAGAGTTCAACATTTTAAGGAAATAGCGGGCAATATGCACACGAAAACGAGACAGCCTTGGCGCAGGGCAAAATAAATGTATAATTATTTCGAGAAAGGAAAACGCTATAAGATAATAGCTATCTGTGTGCGCGAGGTCTAAGTACTCGTACTTTTAAGCAGTTTCTTCATTTGTATAGAAAATGTTTGCGTATTTTACGGTAGTACTCCACACACAATGTCTCTTGCACCAGATGAAGTACACATTTATGTACATATGTATAAACATACATATCTCTAGTCTCCCACGAATGTCTACATTACGAGTAATAACTGCATTTCTAACAAATTTTATGCCATAATTTTGATTCGCCTAATAAACGGTTAGCTCCGCGCTAACCAAGCATGAATACAACAGCGTGACCAACGACCGTTTGCTCTATGATAATTTCTAACGCTTAGGTCTGCTAATTTTCCCAAACTACGAGTACAACTGTCTTTCCAGGAAATAGATATATCTATGTATGTATTAGAAAAAAAAATATGTCTTAAGCATTCGTGCGATTTTCCCCCAACTCCAACAAAGACCAACAATCAACTAAGTCTCTAAATCATTGCATTGTTTTCTTCTGCACTTTTCCCAAGATATTACCCAATCATTAACAGCCGCAACAACATTGCAAACTGCGTAACTTCATCAGCAATTCCAATTAGGAGGCCGCGCCGCTCTAAGCAATAAACGCCAGGTACGAGGCAATGCTTTTGCCAGTCATGCTGCTGTACATGTAGTACATAGATATGTATGCAAGTACGTGTAAACATAGTGTGCAGTTAGTTGGGAAAACTTAGGCTTGCGCATGCGCAAAGCAATAAATCAAAATTGCAAAAATGCATTCGGCAGCAAAAAAAAAAAAAAAAATGGCAAGCAACAAACAGTTGTTGAAAGAACAGCAAAATAAGTGAGTGCCTAGCGAACGTTGTGCGCTGTGTGCTCGAGGAGAAGGCAATAAAAGCTTGTAAAAAGCGAACGCCAAAGTGCGAAATACGAAATGCGAACTTGCGAAATGAATGAGTGGTGGCGTGTTGCGGATACTTTAATGAAGATGAACGCGTTTGTAATGGCCGACGCAGCTATTAAATGTCTGTAAATACATATGACCGAATGGATGAATGGAAGAGCAGTCATAACTTAACTCCCACAATGATTATTGTTCGCAGTGGGTTGGGTCGTTGTAACTTACAACATGAACGCGTTGCAAGTTTATAAATTAGCTGGTTGGTTGCATGAGGGCATTTTTGTTTCCCTTCAATACTGAACATATTTTATGCGTTGAGTTTTAATGAACATTTTTTTTTTGCTTTTTCTCTTCATTTACAGGTGAAGCTGGTCGATGTGGAAAAGGTGGAATGGTTGAATAGGCGTTCATACAGCGCCATCGGTTTGCTATTGGGTCGTGAGGGACGCATTTTATTGCGCTGCGATAACGGCTTGGAAGACTGGTTCGAGTTGTTGGAGGTGAGTGTCACAGAGTTTTAGGTTGTGTACTTTTGTGTTCAAATTTTATTTTAGTTTATGTGATAAATTTATTGGCTTCAACTTTTCGTGAGAACAGGCAGATCATCACCTTCGGCCAGTTTGATATGCAAGTCTGGAATTTTATTTTCACAGTTTTTTGTAAGAGCGATTTTCTTTACCAAAGCGTTAGAATATTGCGCATGTTACGAAAATCGCATTCCAATTGGATCTCAAAGCAATGCTTATTAAAAGTTGAACTCGAGTTATTGGGGACGGACCTAGCTATCTAGATACTGTAGCTTCGCCATATGTCGACTCCATAATTTTTTGATTGTGACACGATATTGAAAGTCGCTGAGAAGATTGTAAGAAGAGCCACATTTTTTTGTGTTTGGCTTTAAACAATAAACTGATGTCTGGGTTCTTCTGAGGAATTCTTCCAGGACTCTTTTAGGAATGAGCAAAGAAGACGCCGAAAAAATCAAAGCAGTCCGAAAGGATTGACTTATCCTTCAATCGTTTCTGCCGAAACTGCGAGGACCCCGGCTTAAAAGCGGCAGTCGAATGAGACTAAAGACACTCGGCACACATATTCTATATAAAAAGGTGTTTTCGAAAACAGCGCTTTCCTTGTCGAGTTGTCAGCTTTCTTGTTGCTATTGGCAACAGTGGGCCGCGGGAACCAAGAAGATTAGGTTATTGTGGCAGACCCCACGAGGCGACTAACATTTAACAAATTTTCTGAACGGTAACTACAGGTGCTCTGTGTTAAACTAAGAGAAGCGTTGGGTGCTCAAAACAAAGTTCGGCTGGCAGCTGATGTCTACTCCGGAGAGCTTTGCGAGAGGTGATGAAATGCGCACCGAGGTTCTTAAACCTTAATCTACCCAATAACAGGCAGCTGTGAATGAAGTGCTGAGATGATTTCACCTCGTGTTCCAAACAGCTGCGGCAGTAAGAATCCGTGACGATAAAAAGTCGCAACGCGTGGTTTCCTAAAGGACAATGTCCAGTCAGTACACCTGTAAGAATCGAGAGTTGACGCTTAGCAAGCTGCAGGAGCTCCCTTGACCGCCTGCGGCCAACAACCGGCGGGAAGGAACGTGGAACTTTGCTTTCCGGGGGTTTCCGCTCAGCGCTCGCTGATCCAACTATGAGCCCATCTGCCCAGAAGCAGGCCGCAGGTTTCGAACGGAACTCATATGCCCTCCCTGTCCGAGGTGATGTCCTCCTGCGTTCTTTGCCTAGCTAGCTCATCAGTTCATCAGACTTGCAATTTTCCGTGATTTCACTGTATCCTTTGATACAAATAAGCTTGATTTGGAAATATTCCGAGGGGGTTGAGAGAGAGCTAAGGCATTCCCCGCCTAGTTTCGATTGTACCATTAGCAAAGGGTCCGTTTGGTGCCATCCACGTAACAATCCAATCCATTTCTTACAGAAGGAAGTCGAAGCTTTTGAGAATTATCGAGTGCCCATGCGCTGGGTTGAAAGAAAACCCGGAGCTTGTGAGCAATGTTAACAGGTGTGACACTGAGCATATCATTTGGCGCTAAGGTAGGAGTTGTCCGGAGCACTCCGCTGTCCCAAGACGGGCCACCCTTTGCACGAAATGTAAGTAATTATGTACTTCCGCATCGACGTACACTTCAGTCTATTCTACATTATAGATGCCAAGCGGCATCAAGTCTCAAATCTTTTAATTGCACAGTTGAATGAGCTACACAATTACCTTTTATTCGATATGAATTTGTCGGCTGAATTATAATTACAGTTGCGCTCGTCAATTTCCAGCCATCGCTCTGCATGAATCCAGCTGAACGTAACTTCGGGCATACGGTGAAATGTGACAGACGCGGTGGTCTCTGACTTAATATTGAAGCTTACGAGAAATTTCGATTACTTTCCTGAAAGTATTAAAAATCATTGTAAACTGGAAGACAAATTCCTTTGATCAGTTGATCTGGAAATTTAACCAATCTTGTTTTTTTTTCGCATTAGCCAAGCTGAGTCTCTGCATAGCGCCTAGAACTTCTGAGAATGAACTTCTAACACTGAATTAATTTGGGGTTTGTTTCGGCAAGATTAGTCTAATAAATTTCCCAACATTCATGATGAATGGGGACAGAAAAAACCTGTCGCTGTTGATGAGGTGTTCTTGATCTGGTTTCACCGGATCATGATTCTGTGGGAGATTTTGATCTATCTGAGTTCTGTAGATGAGTTCTTTAAAAACGAATCAAACTTCGATGCTGGTATATCCCTTATTCCCTTCTTTTGGTTAGAAGTACGAACGTGAAACTTTACCTAATTCGAGATGTCTCTTAATTAACTTGAAGTCTTTAAACAGCAGAAGAACTATTCTCTCATTGACATTTATTTTTTGACATTATACTTGGAGCGATTGACTCGCCATATTTACTCGAGCTTATTCATCTTAATATCCCCTATAGAAACCTGCGGAACCATGGCACGTTTGTATTAGATCCAGTTAGAACAATTTACGCATCTAATTCTCCTATAGCTAGGGCCCTGAAGGAGTATAATATGTTCCCAAATACTATAGCCATTGATTTCTCTTTGCCGAAAGATAAGTTTAAGTTGGTATTGAATGGATTCATTTAACTAGTTATTAGTATATTGTTCTTTGTTAATTTGTAAATAGTCTCTAAGAAAATTGTTATATAATTTCTAAATAAATAAATAAATAAATAAATGTCTATAAATTTTTTCACTCCCTCTCTTCGCCTCACAGGAATGCACTCTCTTCTCGAAGCAACGCCGCCATGCTCTCAAGATCGCACAAGGTCCACGTTCGCGCGCCTCCCTCGCCGCACCAGTCTCACACGCGGCGCTCGAATCACAACACTTCGGTTTGGGCAGCAGCTATTCTAGCGCTCTGGAAGATTGGCTCATGACAAATGGTAGCGGCATGGGTGGACGCAACAAAATTGCTACTGGCTGTGGTTTTGGCGGCAATGGCACCAATCCATTCCTCTTCTCCGACTCTGTGCCGGACTTGAGCGCACTTAACAACGATCATCATCAACGCATCTCTGGCTATTCAACCAATCATTCCACACCACAAAAGATACCCTATTCGCGTCAAAGTGAGAATGCTAATCAAAGCCGTTATTCGAATGGTTACGCCTCGCAGAATAGCTCATTCAACAATTGTCCAGCTGTTGGCGGAGCCTACGATTCACCACGACGCATTTTCATTAACAAAGATTTCACATCAAATCAAGTGGTCGACGAGGAGGCCGATGATGATGAGAAAGTTGAGCTGCGACGTCCACAGGCCTACAACGGCAGCGGTGCCGCCCATAAGGTCAACAATGACAACAACGATTTGGAGAATGGCAATGTGGTGGATGGTGAATGGTTGTATCGCAAGCCAAGAGCACCAACCGACATGCGGCATTCGGGTAAGTGACGAGCGAATAATTTTAAAGAATGTACTTAAATTTCACCCCTCTCTTTCCCGCTCTCTCTAACTCTTTTTCCCTCCCTGTAGTACAACCAATGCTGCCCACCAATAACAATTACAACAACGCAAAGAGCTCATCAAAGATTCCTGTAACCGACTTAGATCACTCAGCCCATGATAGCGGCCTCGATACACCACCGTCCACAAATCAACGTCCATCCAGTTATCGTGAGATTATCACACGCACGCCTGTACGCGAAGCCATCAACGAATCCGTGGTCCGTTCATCACATGGCAATTTACTCAATGGCAGTTTTCGTGCCAAGCAAATAACTCATCTTACGAATAATATGAATCAGGTGAATGCGCTGCATAGCTCTCATCTGAGCGTGCAGGAACGCATTCTACAAATGCGCAACGAAGAGAATCGCTGGGGTTCGCTGAAGTCCGAAGCTAATCGCTACAGTCACAATGCTCTCTACGATCAGAATAAGAATCCCTACCCGGAGAGCGTCAATCAATCGCCACAACGCACTCCTTTCAAGAAGCACTCGCTCATCGGTTACGGTCGTTCAATTAGTCACGACACTAACGGCACAATGAACGGTAATTCACAGATGAAGGGTTCGTCCATATTGCGTGAGCGTTTTCAGCATCCCGCTTTGGCGGCAATCAAAGCTTTTTACTGATAAATAATTAATAACGATTATTTTCTATCACAATAGCATTATTATTACTAAATACTTATACACATGCATGCATGTTAGTATGTATGCGTTCGGTAAAAAAAATACATATATGTATTAGCTAAATACTCGTAGTGAAAGCTTAAAAAATTAAAGTAATTGGAAAAAATGAATTCAAATCGCACAGGGTGTTTATAATTTGCGTTTAATAGTAGAATTGCTGATTTAATATACGAGAAGTATTTTTCTGTGATAGTTGTCAGCGATATTAGAACGAAGACGATTTGTTTTTTTTTTTTTTTCTTTTAAATAGTATGCCAAAAATTAAAATAAACGCATCATATTACGATTAAACTTGATATTAAATGAATAAAAAGCTATCGAAAAATATTAGATATACGAAACGAAGAAGAAATTGTGTTCTTATTTCCTTACGGAATATGCCCATACGGTAAGTAAATTTATTTTCTCCATTCCAGCCCTGGAGAATGGGGAATCCATGTTGGGTGCCTTCTTGGACATAACGGGTGCATTCAACAATGTCCCAACGCAAGTCATCTTGGACGGAATGACGACGATAGGGGTTCATCCCGTAATTTCGAACTGGATAAGCAGTATGTCGAGCTGCAGAAATGCCTCGGCGCAGTGGGGTATACCTGAGACCACCAAACCAGTTAACAGGGGTATGCCGCAAGGGGGTGTATTATCACCGCTACTTTGGTCACTGGTGGTCAACAGGATAAATACTGAAGAAAATGGAGGGAGGACCTGCTGAACTTACTGCATATGCGGATGATATCTTTGTCATAGTAAGTGGAAAGTGTCTGTCCACACACTCTGCTCATTTATGAGCCAAGCACTACGGGTAATACATCTTTGGGCAATCGAAGTGTGGCTTAGAATCAACGCAGAAATAACAGATCTGGTAATCTTCACCAGGAAATACAAGGTTCCGTACTGGGCCAAGCCTAAGCTGGATGATGTGACCCTCCAGCTTAAGCAAACCACTAATTACCTCGAAATAATACTCGATAGTAAGCTGCCGTGGCACCTTAATGTGGGAGAGAAGGCAAAGAAGGTTTCCGCGGCATTCTGTGCATGCAAAAAGATGCTGGGCTGCACCTGGCTCTGGTCGCCTTCTCTTTCTCACTGGATCTTCACGGCGATAGTCAGGCTGATACTGTTCCTTGGGGTGCTGGTTTTGTGATAAGCATGGGAGAAGAAAACATTTTTTAAGAGTATAGAAAGTGTATATAGGCCATCAATGATCGGCGTGACAGCGCGAAGGCATAAGGAGTGCTGGGTCGGTGAATGCCTATACAGAAAAGCGTATGGGCAGCAGTCGTAGGCGCGGAGCTCGGCATTTTCCAGGCGGCCAGGTATTGGCCATAAGGAGGGTGGCAGAGCTACTGAACAGCACTTCAGATAAAAAGCGGGTGAATCCTTATATAGACAGCCAGGCTGCAATAAAGGCGCTACTATCCCACAGTACTTCCTCTAGAAGTGTGGCGGAGTGTAGAGCAGCTCTGAATTTGCTACATTCCAATAGTGACATACATCTGTACTGGGTTCCGGAGCACACCGGCGTAGCAGGAAACGAAGAGGCCGACAGGCTGGTCAAAGAGGGTGCTCTGTTGGAAACCATTCCCTCCAAGCGGAAGGCGCAGAAAGCGTGAATCAAAACGCAAGGCTGCAAGTTATGTGCAGAGAGTATTACATGAAGATCACGAAGTTTCTCCTGTCCCTCAAGAGGGAGGACGCTATGGACTTTAATGGTCTCAGCGAAGCTACTTAGTGGCTCGCCAGCATACCTAAACTAACACATCTAGTTGTAATAGAAAATATTTTTTTTTTTAATAAAATGTGCACCACAGATTTGGATTCTGCGCATAAAAGTACGTGACTTTTATTTGAAATCTGTTTCTCGGAAGTTCCTATTTCAATCTCTAAATGACCTACAAGGTTCTACTCGTCCTTGACTTTTAAAATGAACGAAAATGTTTGAAAACCGAAAAATATGAATCACACAGTGGGGGATGTTCTCCCGTTTGGTCGAATTACCGACTTGCGCTTTCGATAGAAAGTGGACCAAACTGACCGGACCAACATTTCTTTAATCGGAAGTCAATTCCTGAAAAAATTTTCCGACAAAAGTTCATTTGGACGGCACATCTCCGCAAGTATTTGTTTGAAACTAAGTCAACTTTTAAATGCACCAGAAGCCATCCCATGGACATTATTAACAGACTCAAACCATGTCGATCGTCGGAAGATGTCGTAGAGTCCGCTACTAGTTTTAATATATAAAAAGGTCTATCAAATTCAGGAAAATCCAAAACTTCGCCTTAATACCTCCTTTTGTCTCTTAGGCTCGGCTGGAACATAGTGGGAGGTATGTTTTCAAATAGAAAACATACTTAAACCACGGGAAGATCTGTAGACCCCGCACTACATAATTTCCTTAGATAAATAGAGACGACTCTGGGGAATGGAGAATTCGCGTTAATGGTCCTCCTGGATATAGCCGGGGTTTTTAACTATGTCTCAAATAAATCTTTTTAAGACCTAATGACAACAATATGGCTTCACCCTGCTCTTCCAAACTGGATAAGCAGCAATTCAAACTGTAGACATATTTCGGTTCAGTTGGATAAGCATGAGCCCATAAGCCGTTCAACATAGGCACAGAACATGGCTAGCCTTCTTCTGCCACTGCTACGGTCACAGGTGGTCAATAAGATACTAAATAAAATGGAAAGAGAACTTGCTTACAGCAGTCGATACGGACTATATGGTCCAGAATCTGGATTTTGAGGCAAGTTTCGGAGTCAACGTGAGGTGATGAGGATGGCTGACTCGGTTAATGTTTACATAGATTTCTGGAATAAGGACAGGGGCATAGGAGCGGCAGTGTTTTGGGCGGAACTCGAATGTACATTTGTTCTGGATTTCGGGACTAACCGCTGTTACGGGTAATGAGAAGTACAACGGACTCGCGGATGGACGGAAGACGCTCTAAACTGCACTGTCAGAGGAGGTTCTGATATCCCTGCAAGCTCTTAATGCTAAGATGAAAGGTTATACAGGAAGGCCTGTTAGCAGCAAAGTCAACCTCATATGGCCATATAATGGTCGTTGGCTATTTGGTAGCCACTCTTCGAGATTAGGAGTATTACTCCATGAATTTTTTAGAAGTTGCAGAGATGAGGAATAAGAATAAACAGTCGAACACTTCATCTGCAGTTGTCCAGCTTTAGCTAAGCGCAGAGCAGGCTTTTTAGGTAAGCAATGGACGGAAGCAATGCTCATGGAAATATCCGTTGTAGGAATAAAAGAAATCCTACACTTAATACAAGCTTTCAAATGGTTCCTTGAAATAAGGACAATGAGGTTTATGTGTTTCCGAGTGGTATCACAATGGTCCTGCAGGGTCTAAGTGAGTTGGTTTTCTAGATTGACTGCTACATTAAACTCACCTGGCGTAACACCTGAACACCGTCCGACTAGCAAAGTAGTTGTCTAGAATTGCGCGCAGAATATATGATATCAAACTCTTCAAGTTTCAACTAACTCTTAAGATGGTGGATGCTAGGCAACTTTTTGGTATACTACTTAAAGGACCCTGTTGTTGTTGAACATAGCAGCTTTAAATTGTCTCTGACTCTACAGACTTGTGCATTATTCTCCTGAGAACAGGCTTTCTATCGATTCTGGAATCCGCTGCTAAAATAAGATATACGTATGTAGCAAGGTAATCTAATTTGCCAAGAGTACTGCGATACTCTTTAACATTGCTTGCTCATAGATTACCTGTGTAATACGGTCGTAGTGTTTCTGGTAAGGTTATGGACTTTAACGTTGTCTATGGAGTTCCGCAATTACTAGCCAGCTTAATCTTACCGTCGTGAATTAGTCACCCAGAACTATGATCTGTACTATATTACTTGTAAAATTTATTTACCTTGTATTTAAAATGCTTATTTAAGACATAAAACATCGGCATTTTATTCAATTTTAAATCGTTGAAATATGAAGTAAATTTTTAAGTCACTGAAGTGCGTTGTACTTCACAATTCTCCACACGACCTCAAACTATCCATCTTTTCACGGATAACAATCGTATCACCCATCAATAACCAGTGTTAAATGGATTGCGCTGCAGCAGAATGCAATTGATATAGGTATGTTTTTCACGGCAAAAGGTGCCTTGGAAACAAGAGCAATGCAAGAGTTATTGAGGTGTAGCTGGAAATAATAAATATGTACGTACATATGTATGTAATAGGGTGCTACATCAGGCACAGCTTGCCAGTTATGCCAGCAAGAATCTTCAACATCCAACCAGGCCATTTTGAGAAGCTGCAATGAAATGATCAGCATTCAAGCGTAAGTAAGCGAATCCTGTTGAGGTTAGATGCATGCAAATTCTGTGCTCAGGACATACCTACACACCTACATATGTACATTTGCTCGTACACTGACAAGGAAGCCAAACAAAGTATGTATGTAGATACGCTGTTCAATGCCTGATAGCTTACAGCTGCTGTTGACTAGGAATTTTTTAGTATGGAAAAAATAAATAAAATATAAGAACACAAACAAAGGTAAGCCGGGAAAAGTGCAATTGTGCACGTTGCTGTTGATGGCAAAGTACTTACGTACTCACTTATTTATGCATGCATGAGTGTACTATATTAGCGTGGTCCGACATTTTTTTTTTTCCAGCCACTCCACAGCACAGAAGAATTTAGAAAATAAGGGACCCATATTTTTATTTTGAAATCGGGGTTAGGGTTTTCCATATATTTCATATGGAGAAAATATATATTTTTTTTTAGAATGGCTATAAAATTGTTAAAAATAAATATTTTTTGAACGAATGAAAATATTTCTTGAAACAGTAAAATTTTGGTGCATATTTCACTTTATAATTTTACTAAGTAATTTTTAATAAGCGATAATGTTACCTCTTATATAGAAAATCTAGTCTTTAAATACAAATTTTATAGTCATATTTGCATCATAATTCTATTGTTGGAAGATTTCAGAAGGTGAATACTTATATGATAGGCAGCAAGAAAATTCCAAAGATTTGGATTTTCTGTATATTTTTTGGGATCATCCTAATGTACATATATGTATGTATATGAAAGTATGTAGGCGTGTGCATAGTTGATGACGGGTCGTTGCATAGTAAATATTTTGCACGTAGAAATTTGATTGAATTTTCCCGATCAAGATAGAAAACTCTCCTACACGCTTACATACATATCGCCGTTTAAAGTGCAAAACCGCGTATCAACAAAATGCAAAACCGCGTATCAGCAAAATGCAAAATCGCGTATGTGAAGCTGTAGAAATTATTTTCTTGAGCGTAAAAACACTCATATTTCTAAATGGTTCTC